TAAATCTACATAAAGGCCCACACTTTGTGCTTGTGGATTTCCTGGAATTTGTTAAATAAGCTCTCCCTTCAGGATACCTGGTCAGCCCCACTTGCTGTAATAAACTCATTCATCAATATACCTGCCTTCGAACTGCCTCAGCACAATTTCCTGACATGTGCACTTTCTAATGGAGGAGCCGCCATGTGAAGCTGTAGAGAAGGGTGTTGCTGGGTAGGAATTTCAAGGCAATTGCTGGAAAACCAGGAGATTCTCAGCCAGTAGGAGAAAGTTGAGGTACCTGAATCTCAGTGCCTACCACTCCCTATCTATTTCTAAATGAGACAGCCAAAATGAGATTCTTAAGGTGTTTGCCAAGCATATTTAGGCAGATAAATGGAGGAATGACTGGCTCGGTTTTTGGAAAATGTACCAAATGTGTCAATTACCATGGACTTCAGCAGTGATTGCTTTAGAAGTAACCCCACGTACGCACCCAAGCCCACATCCACCATGCTGAAATGAGCTGGGAAAGCAGAAAATATGTCTGAGACAAACAAATATAACTCCCTCACACAAGCAATGAAATATACTTAAAATTCAAAGGGAGATGAAATGTGCATATACTGATCAGGTTAGCCAGGATACTGCTCAGAGTTGTCATGACAAATGTTAGGATTTGGTTCCCTTTGGATTCTGGAAGTTGTCATCTTTGTAGAAACACTGTGGCAGAACTGAGGGTTGCTGGGGGATACACCACATTCCTGTTCCACCTCATGGGCCTAATCCCAGCTCAGGCTCACAGTTAAGGTACCTCCCATCCTAAAGTTGTCCTGAAGGGTCTTGGCTCTCAAAGTCTAACACCAAGGCCCCCCAATTCTCCTACTATTCTCTAGCCTGTTACCCAATGTCTGGAAAATAGTGGTGGTATCTAGTAAAATCACAGCTAGTGAGCCCTTTTCCTGCTTTTCTTCATTAGACAAGCAAGCTGTAATCATTATATAATTATAAAATGTTCCCATTATTCATCGATAGTGCTAACAACAAGGCCAAGCTATGCTACGAGTTTCCAGAAAATAAGTGAACTCATTGCAAGTTCCCTTCCAATTTACTCATTCACTCACTCACTCATCCACCAAATATTTGTTAAACAATGTCTATGTTTCTGACACTTGACATATATTGATGTCTAAAAAAGACATGTCTTTTCCTTTGTGATACTTGTTATAATAATCAAAAGCAGATTGATGATTACATCCTTATACAGCTTGAGAAGTGCCCCAAAGGAGGCTCTAAGAAGGGGTAGTGATGTCACATAAATCTACCAGGAGATGGCAGGTTGAAAGGCCTTTCTGAAGGATGAGAAGGATTCCAGTGTGCAACCAGTGGGGCAAAGATACCAGACAGAGGGAACAGACACGCAAAGGCTCAGAGGTAGGAAGTGGCTTTGACAGCTTAGCAGGGATGAGGCCAAGGGCAATGATGTCCAATGACTCAAGGGAAAATGGATGTAGAACTGGCAGACACAGAAAGCTCTGCAGGCTAAGGGGAGACAAAATTTTAAGCCATGGGAAGTTAAGGGATTTAAGTGATCTGAACTGTATCAGACAATGTGTAAAAAGAGAGGTTGAACCAGGGCCTCCCTGGTGGCACAAGGGGTTAAGACACAACCTATGAAGCTGTCCACAGCCTCTGCAGCACGAGTTCGATCCCTGGCCAGGGAGATACCCACACGGCGTAGCAGACCTCTCCTGATTTGCCTGCTGCTCCCCTCAGCAGTGTACTTCGGTTGATCTGCCTGTTCTGTTTCCCACTCTGTCTCTGGTGAATCTTCTAACCCCCTACACCTCTGGCCTTTATTCCAGCTCTTGTATGCATAAATAAATAAATCTTTAAAAAAAAAAAAGAGAGAGAGATTGAACCAGAGAGGGAGGGATTAGGCCTGGTGGAAACTGTGAAACCCTCCCAATAACCATCCGCTCCTTTGCCCTGCTAGGAGCATTCCAATTTTATTCTGGAGAGCAATGGGCCAAATCAAAGGATATATTGCCCCCTTCCCTTGTAGCTTAGAATGGCCACATAAGATAATCCTGCACAGTGAGACATAAGTGGACGCTGATGAGCAGGTTTTGCTTTCTTGCTCTAAAGAAGCAACCCCTTCCTCTTTGTTGCTTCCTCTCCTTTTTACTATATGGTTCCAGCCTATAAAAAATATGTGATGGCAGGACAGTCACCTTTGGCTATTTAGGAAAAGTTAACTGTGTGACAGAAGCTTCAGGCTGACAACCATGAGCCACTAGCCAAGGCCAAACTCACCTAACCCTCAATTTTTCTGTATGTGAAGAGAAAAAACTTCCTTTGTAAAGGTATAATTTGGTGGCATTTTCTGTTTGTTTATGGGAAGATGCATTATTTATTATTGTAGCTCAGGCAGCCCTGACATGACAGTTAAAATAAAGAAAAGTGGGTCATTTTTGAAGGTTGAGACAACGGGACATGTGGATGACCTGCATGTGGGCTTTGCTGGTGGAAGATGGTATCTGTAAAAAATTACTTACAGGATTTTGGTTTCAGGACTATTTAAAATGAGAAGGAAAACAAACCCAGAAGAGGATCAGACTAGAAGGTTAAAAGCAAGGATTCCATGTCTGATACTTTACAGTGGAGGTGCCTAAGTGGGATGGACGAGAGTGATCTCCATGCCTGTGGTTCCCCTGAAGTGGGATCTCCCTCAAACTTCCAACCCCGGGCCTTCACTTTCTCCTTAGAGAGCTAGTGAACCAGTCTGGCAGGGGAAGCCCTCATCTCTGGCTGCTCAGCCTCTTGTGTGCACGCACAGGCAGGCTTCTGTGGAAGGGACAAGTGGTCCTCAGTGCTGCCTGCATCCAGAGGCTCAGCCCTGGGTCCAGCTTTGAGGAGCCCATTACTGCTGCATATCTCATCCTCACCTCCCAGTATAGCTTTTAGCAATAAGAAGACGCTGACATTTGCACCCCCACATGGTAGGCTTCTTGGTCTATTCTCAGTGGTTTCAAATTTAGGTTGGTTTATACCTGCATAATGTTAGGCACATTCCAGTCCTTCAGTCACATCAGTGGAACCTCAATTTAATAGATGCTTCTTTCAGTAGACATTGCCAAAGAAAAGCCAATTCCTCCCCTCTTCTAACGTATGCATGCCTCCTGCCTAAACTCACTGTTAGAACCAAGGTTTGAGCCTTCTCTACCAGGAAGGGACACTAACCCGCATAGACATGAGAATTCAGCTAAAATGGATGGCAAAAGGTAATCGGTAATCATTCTACAGTTCAGCCATTTGGCTTCTTGCTATAATGCGGCAGGAAATGCATTACTAGAATTCTGTTACCTTTCTCCCACTTCCTTCCCTCCACTACCAATCCACTCTTACCTGCCCTCGACCCACTCATCGACTCGTTGCTTTCCACCTTTAAAATACTAGTTTTCTTTATGCTGCCCCTAGTAGCCCCACTTTAGAACTTCTGGACATACACTGGGTCATGGGCAGCCATTCCTCAAGACTGGGGAATCTAGGGAAGACTGTCTGCTTGAGCTGTGGCAATTCTCTTTTTCCTATTGCCTTTTTTTTTTTTTTTTAAGATTTATTTATTTACTTACTTACACAAGCACTGGGTATAGTCAGAAGCGCGGGAGGGTGAGAGAATTCACCAGAGCCAGAGTGGGGAGCAGAGCAGGCAGAAGGACCGAAGTACACTGCTGAGGGGAGCAGCGGGCGGCAGGAGAGGTCTGCGTGCCATGTGGGACCCTCCCCCGGAGGCTGGGGGGAGCAGCCGGGGATCGAACCGGCCAGCTTCACAACCCAGCACTCAACCGCTGCGCCACCGGGGAGGCCCTCCTATTGCTTTTTGATAAAGACAGATGTCCCAGTTTGGTCTCGTACTGGGTAGCCAGTCACTTCTCAGAGTTTATGTTTGGGAGCTTCTTATATGATATTCTGTGCTGCTACAAAAAATGGTCTTTTGACCACAAGTCATAGAAAACACTCTTGCACTTCAGATCCTGCTTTTTCATGCCCCTCTCCTTCCCTCCCAACAGATATATTACCCCTTGGGTTTTGCAAGGATGAAAGAGGTGATAGGCATTCTGGCACATTAGATCATAGAAAATAATACTTCTTCTCAGAATGAGTATGTAAATTGCATGTGTTGCTGCCTGTGTGAGGCCCTGCACCTGGTATGGGATGCAGTGTGGCATTGTCACCGCATCATTCAGTGGCTTTTACCAAGCAGGGGAATGTCAGCAGCTGTGATGCATTTTGCTGCTGTGATGTTAACTACAGACACAGATAGAGTGCTCATTAAAAAAAATATATATACGCCCTTTTTTTGAATAGAGCCCTGGGTAATTACCCTGACTATTGTTCTATGAGAAAGCCCCATTTGCAACCCTTCATCAATTTAAGATCTGGACATGAAAAATCACCAGCATTAAGTAGTTAAGGCAATTTGCTTTCCAAATGAAGAAAGGCCAAAAAATAATAATGCAGAACAAAAAAAAAAAATCTCTATTCTTGTGTTGCCCATGTTGACAACCAAAGCTCACCTCAAATAAAGGCTCCTGAGCAGGAATTTTTCTGACCATACCTTCTTCCTAAATAGAGCCCAAGGGCAATGTGCTCAGGGTCTGCTTCCTACTATCAGCACTAGGAGGACCTGTGGGTCTGCAGGGACAGCCCCCCGGTGAAGGGTGGCTGCCTGGCAGGCACAGATGCTTCTGGCTGCCCTGCCCTGTGGGCTGGGCTTGGCGTTCTGAGGAAAAGCTACAGAAACATTGCTCACCTTGAGAAGTAAGCTCTCAGGGCGGGGTCCGTGTTCCTCCAAGTAGCCACAGAACATGAAATAGGTTATGAGGTGTGCCATTCAGTATGGAGTAAAATGGGAAATCATTGAACTACTTACCCCCAAATGGAAAAATAAAGTGAATACAAAAGAAAAGGCCAAAAAATATCACCACAAAACAGATGGCCCCCAAATTTTTACTTACATTGAGTGAGGATTCCGGTTAAGGCGTTTTTAAAATTCTCCTTGGCTTCCTCCATCTCCTGCTCATGGGTGGCTTTCTCATTCATGAGCCGGCGGACGTGGCTGTTGGCTGACTGCACCATGGAGTAGAACTGGTTGGCGGAACGGCGATTCACTTCCCCGCGCTCAATCCAGGAAAGGAGCACTGTGATGGCCTCTGAAAATTTGCTGTCATCTGGAAATGCAAAAACAAGTGCAGTCATGGCAAGCAGAGAAAACAAGCTTTACTTTGGGTTCCTCTCCGAAGACAGTGTGGACCGGCCAAAGGGAGACATTTTCAGAAGTTGACACAATAGCTTTCTTCAGACTGACTGCTCTATTAGCAGTTCGTTTTTCTTCTCCTTCAGGGCACCATAGAACCACCCAGAAATGGGGGAGAGGGGGTGGAGGTGGGGGGTGGGGTGGGTCACCAGGTCATCCACCAACCTGCTGAGCTCGGTTTTAGAAGATTGGTTCCGGGCATCCTTTGTAATATGGTATAACCTCGTTCTTCCCCAAACCATGATTTCTCCTTTCTAAGACTGGCTTGAAAAACTGCTATTAACCTAGGTGGTCTCCATTTGATTCTTTACCTTTCTATCTAAAATATTATATGGTGATACTAATTTTCTGCCTGAGAGTCAGCTGAGCTAGTGTCAAAATACGGATGACAGATTAAATTACTTTGAAACTACTTGTAAGAGATTATTCCAAATTCAGGTAGCGGAGATAAATCAGTTCTTACTCTATTGCTGTCCAGAACTGATTTCATTATAGGTTGAATACCACATATTTGATTAGGCTAAAAAAGAGACTATTACCTTGTTTTCGGCAAAAGAGAAGCTGTTCCCTGGGGTGGTTTGTGTTTGCTTTGGGAGGCTAGTGGAAACCTATTTGAATCTGCTATGAGTTGTGTGTGTAGGGGGTGAGGTGGGGCAGGAAAGGGCAATGAAGTTCCCCCTGTAAATAAGTGATAAAGTTAATTTCAAAGACAACAAGTACACTTGCTTGTTTGAGAATGGCTGCTGAGCAGACCTATGTTGTATGGCTTGGAGGTGGAGGAAAAGCAAGTTTGCAGGTAATTAAGTTAATTAGAAGTGGAAGCTGTATTTCGATTGTTACAACATTAATCGATGCTACTGCTGAAGGCTCACTGCATATTTCCCAGGTACACTTGAGGGGAGAAGGCTTTCATTTGTATTTTTCTAGCCCTGGAAAATGTGATTTAAGAAAAATAACTCACATGTTTCAAATAAACTAGGTAGAGTATGAATTCTAAAAATTAGAAGTAAAATTAGAGTAGATAATTCTGATTCTTATTCATCTACTTCACAAATAACTGATCGCCTCTTATGTCCCTTCCATTGCAGGAACATCAGAGAAATGGATATGGGTTGTTTCCATCTATTCTCATTCTATTTGTCTCTCTGTCTCTCTCTCTCTCTTTCTCCAGATGAATGGATAAAGGATGATTCATGTTTTACTCACCAGGTATTTCTAAATCAACACTTGCTGTTACTATTTTACAAATTAGATAAAACCTTCATTTGTGAAGCACTCTGTGAATTTTGCAGAGTGCTGTAGAAATATCATTAGTGCGGATAAAAATATGATAACAGAACCAAAATGGAGTAACTTATTCTAAGCCCCACATCACTGAACTGATATTTAATTACAGTTTCAGCTCTTCTGGAAATGGAATCTTAGTCAATCAGGAATCACTCCATCGGCACTAGTTAGGTAATCTGCTTGATAAACCCCCATCATTGTTAAAGCAAAGTAACCTTGTCATACACTAACCAACCCACTTTTTAAAAAATATATAACAGTATAATTTCCCTGTTCCCTTCTGCCTATAAACATCTTTTATTTTATACAGTTGCTCAGAGTTCCTTTCTGTCACGTAGATTAGATACTGCCTGATTCAAACAGATTTTTGCTCAAACAAGCTGAAAAAATTTACATGCTTCAGTTTATTTCTTAACAACTATTCCCCCAGAAGCCCCTCTCCCAGATCAGGATATAACTTCCTTGCTGTAGCTGTTTCTTGGCCAAGGGGTAGGTGCACAGAAGCACAATTACTTGGCCTAACTTGGTACGTGTGGGGTGTGTGGTCTGCCTGCTCCAGGAAGAACAGCAGCTGGTATCTGCCAGCTAGTACCCCTAGTATGGCGGCTCTCTCCACCAGCCTCCATTCCAGGACCTCTCCTGCAGAAGGAGCTGCAGACTGGACTTTAGGATCAAGACCTTTTTCCCTGTGCATCTCCAGACCTTGCTTTTTCACCAGAGGAGATAACCAGCAGGACAGTAACCACAGGGCGCCCTACAAGGGAAAGATTTGACTTTCCCTGAAATCACAGGCACCAAACACTTGTGCTGAGTGTCACAGCAAGCTTATGCAATTTTGTTAACTCCAGAATTTCAGTCTGAGTTCAACCCTCCGTGAACTCCAGCTGTAGTTGCTTCTTATCTCATTTCATGGACCGGAGCGGCTTGTACAAGATAAAATCCATCACACAACTTAACATTACGTTCAGCCCATGGAGAAGCCCATAATTTAGCATTATGTTTGTGAGAGGCCCACTGCGACCGTTACAGTCGGAATAAATTTTGACTCCTTAGCACTCTCTACTTCTCTCCCTGCCAATATATGTTAGGAGAATGGACCTCCAAAAAGACAGCAGAAATAAACCTAACGCCTATAAGAAATCTTATTTTTTCACTCTTAAAACCTAACAGCAAAAGAAGAACAAAGACTTCATGTTTCATTTTCCCCCTTTGCTGTGACTGACATCTCTACAGAGCAGAGAGAGACAACCCTCAATGTTTTGGTTGTTGAGCCAACAAAGAGCGAGCGAGCGAGCTCCACCTTCCCATCTTTCTCTCCATGGCACACCGGTAGTTTTCCCTTCTCTGCTTGTGGTCACTCAGTTCATAAACATCAGGAAGAACACACATAAACTTAAAAAGAAGGCATGCTTGCTCAAATGGTCTAAAAACTAAATTTTACTGTTCTTCATTTCCAGACCTACAGAGCAAGTTCACCATCAGGTGATAGTTACTTGATCGTTTTCTGAAAGAGAAACAGCATTCTCAGGATTAAGCAACTGAAAAACACAATTTAAAAGGTAAGGAGGCAGAAGACTTCCCAGTATTTTAACCAGTAGTGGGCAGAATTCCATGAGCTTAAAAGACATGATGGTTTTGCAAACTCCCAACTTCATCCTTATTTCTGAACTGTCTGGAACCGCCAGGCTTATGTATGATCCATCTACTAATATTCTAATCGAATGTAGAAACACTCATGAAGGTACGATTGGTAAGTCTGGTCACTATCTGCTGCCATGGAGGAAGTGACTTGATATTGATCAAGACAGAGACAGCAAATCTCTCTGAGTGGCTCCTGGAGTGTATAGGGAGTGGTCATCTTCAATAGTCAACTGTAACTTCAATTTTGTATTCAGTGGACAGATCACTGAAAAAACAGAAAACAATATAAACTAATTTAAATGGGGTTTAGATAGCATTATTAAAGCTATTCATGTGGAAAGAAATTAACACTGCTCATAAAAATCACATCAAAGACCCACTTACAAAAATTCTGCGTACCTTCCATGGACAATGTTAGGCATAGCTCTGAACAAGGGTGCAGTTTAGAAGTTCAAATGCACAGTGGTGTTTCTTCCACAGTCAGAATTGGGAAAACTAGTGGCACTGGACCATTCACCCATTAAAAGCTGCCCAGTGTTTTTATTTATTTATTTTATATATATTTTAAATCATTCTTCTGTTTTTACAATGCATGCTTTCTCCTTTCAGATGTAGTCCATGCAAAATTCCCATCACCAATTCACCTGTGCACCATCCATAGTCCCTTGTGTAAGAATACATTCCCTCCCCTGTTTTGATCCCTCCCCCTCCTCTGCTGAGTGTCTTTGATTAATAATTGCCTGTTAATTTTGTTTTTTTAATTTGTTATAATTTTTTCCCTGGTCCCTAACTTGGTTCCCCTGCATTCCTCCTATAAGCGAAACTATCCGATTTTTTTTTTTTTTCCCCTTCTGGCGTATTTCACTGAGCATAATCCCTTCCAGCTCCATCCATGTTGCTGTGAATGGCATAAGTTTATCTTTTTGATTGCTGAATAGTATTCCATTGTGTATATATATCAGGATCTTCCCCAAGTTGCCAGTGTTTGCTTCCAGTACTCCCTGGATTTGCATTTTCCTCTTTATCCCCCACACCCTTTGTCATTTTCCTCTTTGCTCAACATTTCTGCTTTTGCAATCATCCTAGGGCCCCTCACATCCCTGGTCCACCTCACTAGCTGTTACGCTTCCTACCTGATTCAGCCTCAGTCCCTTTCAGAAAGTAAGATTTCCTGTAATCCTGAAATGAAGTGGGTATCGCTTTTCTTTGTTTCCACAATTCCCTTCATGCCTGACCTTTAAAGGGTCAAGGGCTAGGTATAATTACTAGTTTATGGGTCTGTCTCCAGACTTGAGGAACTAACATGAAAATAAAACTTCCAAAACATATTTCAGTCTTCTGGTCATTTTGTGTTTTTCACTTTGTCTTTATATTTCGCGTCGTTCTACTTCAATAGAGTTGGAGTGATTAGTATTCAAAAGCTACAAAGTCAATTCTCCATAGTTGTGAAACATCAGTTGATATTAAGAACTCTAATTTCATATTGAGGAGTACTTTCACATTGTCTAGCAGAGATAAATGTCCCTGTGGCACTTCAGCTCGCTGGTTTTTTTATCCTTGAGGTCGTTATGGGCAAAAAAGTTAAGAGTGATGTCAGATAATCACATAGAGGCAGCCTCCTGCAGTGATTTATCAAATGACTCAAAAAACTTTTTTGAAAGCATTTTTATTCTGGGGAGGTAATAACCATTTTTAGCTTTGTGAGGAATACATTCCATGGTAATGATTATCCTAACTCAATGTCATCACCTTACTTCATGCCCATCTCATCTTGTTTCTGGTTGGTTCAGATATTGTCAACCTCCCTCCCTCTCTCACTTTGTTCCATGTTCATCGAGCACCTGGCACATATCGATAGTATGCATTAAAAGTTGTGTATGGGACAAATCTTTTGCTATTTAAAGATGGCAAGCATGAGCCTCATTTGGGTGCTTACTGAAAAGGCAGACTTGCCCTTCTCAGTTGTCCTTACTGAGAAGCTGTATC